TATGTTCTACCGGCAGCGCATTCGGCGTGCGCACTCTGGCCGATCGCCAGGTGTCAGAGTACACCAACCTCCCCGGCCTGGTGGGTGGCCTGCAGCTTCTGGGTAGCCAGTCGCAAGGGTCCACATCTGGCGCCCGCCCGCAACCAGGTGCCTGCAGCAGCACCAAGGCGCAGGTCGGAAGGTGGAGGTGTTGGCTGCATACCGCTGCTGAACGCAGCCGAACACAAATTACCACAATTGGCAGAGCCCGATTCGAGGCATTCAGGCTGCCACCCTCTGGGGCCACAGAACTGAGGACGGTGCAGCCCACCCACTGGCTGTCCCCCACTGGCAGCCTTCGCCCCAGCCAACTCCACTGGTCGACCACACACCGCATGGCACGGACTTCTGCCAGCCAAGGCACCTCGTTGCGCACCAGCAGGAGTCTGAACACTCTAGCAGGGTCTTGAGCAGGTCACAGGGCCTCGGCATGCTGCCAAATGACGAAGGGACCGTCCAAGGCTGCTGGGAAGGCTATGGACTGTACCACCAAACTATGTGGGCAAGACGAGAGAGTCTGTGTGGCAGCGCCAGCTAACGAGCAGCCTGCCCCTGTGCGGCAGCCGGGCAGCAATTGGAATTGCAGAGCATGTCGGGCAGCAGAGCAAAAGAAGGCTGAGCAAAAGAAAGTGTCCCTGCTGGCATCACCGCTGCGCGAGCGCCTGCTGCACCAGCTGCACTGCGTCTGCCGCGCATCCCCATGCTAGCGTGAGGCCGGCGCCTCCATGCCCATAGTTGTGCACAACCGGCAGGCTGCTCTTGCCGCTGCTACCGCCTGGTTGCTGCTGCTTGAGTGCCACCTGCTCCAGCTCCAACCGCACTGAGGGGCGCCCAGGACGCAGCCCCACCTGTCGGTGGGAGGGCAGCAGGCACCCTTGATGTTGGCTGGCGGCGCTCAGAGCTGCGAGCAGAGGGTGGTCCCTGCCTGCCTGATCCCCAAGCACTGCCTCCATCACAAACGCAGATTGATTAACCACTCCCAAGCTGCCAACCCACTCACCCACTCTGACACAAACTCCGCCGCCCGCAGGCTGGGCACCACTTGGTAGGCGCGCTCGAGAATGCCGCGGCGGTCCTCATCCCGGGGCGTCGTGTCGAAGTCGCCCTTCCCAAGCGTGCCACCCAGCACCACAGTGTCTGCCGGGCAGGGGCAGTACACGGCGGGGCAGTTGTGGGGCACAGGGCGGTGGCATGGGACCAGACCAAGGGGGGGTGTTCAGCAACTGCTGCTGGGCACCCCTAGCCTGTTGTGGCATGTGCAGCCCCGACACCGGCGGGCCCCTGCTCATTCCGCCTGACCCTCGCACGCTCACTGACCTGTGTTTGGGATGATGTAGCAATCCTTGTCCGTCCCCGTAGCACCATTCACATAGTGCCTGACCTGCAGCACAGACTAGAAGTTCGGAGCACGACAAGCCCGCACCAGCGAGGCCCAGCCCGGGCACCGTCCGGTGGCACAGCAGCGGAGGCGGCGGCGCACCCAGGGCGCCCTAACGCGGATGACGTGCCCTCTCACTGGATACATGCTATCGTCGCCAAACAGCTCCTTGGCGCCCAGCCCTGCAACTCGACAGCCGCCCACAGCCCAGTCGCCCAAAACAGGCGGACATCCCACCAGGTAGCGCAGCAGAGTGCGGTGCCTGCTGCCTGGGAAGCAGGTGCGCAAGGGCAGGGCGGCATGCCGCGGGAGCGATTGAGCAGGTGATCAAGGAAGAAAGCGCAGGGCCACGCACCGGAGCAGTTGACCACCACATCGAAGCCCGCCAGCTCGTCCAGCGACCCCACCCGCTGCGCCACCAGGTGGCCGCCCGCCGCCGCCAGCCGCTTGGTGAGCCATGCCAGGTACAGCCGGCCCTCGCTGCGGGCAGCCACATGCGCATATGCCCCAGTGCACAGCCAATCAGCCACACCATGCAGGACGGGCAGGCAGGCGGGCAGCAGACCAGGTGGCGGCAAAGGTGGCAGCAGCCCCCTCCACGCTGCCTCCCCTCATCTGGCAGCCCCTCCACCCTGGCGCACGTGATGATTGTGGTGTAGAACCAGCCGTGGGTGTGGGTGCCCTCTGGATCATACGCTGCCCGCTCTCTGTCCGTGAGGTGGCGGAAGTGCGGCACGATGGCCGCCCACTCCGGGTCTGGCACCGGCTCCGGAAATAGCTGGTAGGCAGACGTCAGGATGGTGCCTGCCTGCGGCGCCTCCGGCGACTGGTACAGGGCCAGGTAATGGTCGAACGTGTCCTGGCCCCACCGGTTGACCAGGTCGGGCGGCGTGCCTCCCTGCGCACGATGGCAGAGGAGGTTGGCAGGGGGCCGAGGCGCGGGGCAACGAGTGTGAAAGGAAAACGTCGGCGCGGGCAGGGGCAGCAGCGCCCACCGAAGCTCGGCGACGGACTCACCAGCGTGTAGGGTTTCCACAGGCCGCCGGCGCCATGCGAGGTGGTCTGCAAAAGCCAGTCAGCGTCAGAGTAACCAGATGTGTGTATACGATGTAATACGATGTGTGTATAATACGACGGCGACTGCAAACAGCCTGGTGGCGGGCGGCGGAAGTCAGCGCACCTCATCAAACTTCTCTGCCACAATGGTGACTTCCGCCTCGGGCATGGCCTCTCGGATGCGCAGCGCAGCGCAGCCGTCAGGCCGATCACGCCAGCCCCCAGCACGCAGATGTTGCCAGCAGAGGCAGAGGGTCCTCCGCCTCTGACGGCAGCAGCGGCGGCGGGAGCGGCGGAGCTGGCGCGTGGCGCTTGTCGTCGCCTGGATGGCGCATCGGCGGTGCGCTGGCTGCAAGGGGCTGCCCCCAGGCGCACTGTGGGCGCCGGCAGGTAGGGCCCAAGGCCCAGGCAGGGCCCAATGCTCAGCATGCAGCTATTCAGAGATTGGGGAGGATACACAGACAGCGCTAAACATGCTCCACCGGTGGGATCCTTCGGTTTTAGCTGTCATGTTTGGTCGGCTGACACGTGGCGGCCATTCCGAAGAAACAGCCGTACAATCGTCTAGCGTCCCTGCAGCAGACCCAAATCTGACTCAAGAGCACCACTGATCATCGTTACAATAGCCCTTGACCCTCGGCGCTGAACCTCTGGCGAGCCTCGAACCCTTGCTCCCACCAGCCTTTTCTGTCACCAGCAAATGGACAGCCACTGCCAGGCCAGTTGGCTACAGTCAGTGGCTCCATGCCGGCGCCGACTGGCGGTTTCAGCATCGACGGCGCCGCCCCGACCGGCTATGAGCGGGCGGCGCTCCAAGCAGCGTGCCCTGGTGGGCTCGCTGCTGGAGCAGGCGCGGCGCGAGGTGTGGAGCGGCTGGCTGTCCGATCTGGTCCTGCCGCTAGTGTCGGAAGACGCCGGCTCGCAGGCGCCGCCGCCGCCTACCCAGCCGCCTCGCGAGCTTGCTGATGCCGACAGCGAGTTTGCTGAGGTGGACGGCGTGAGCCTGCACTTCAAGCAGTGCTGGCCGTCAACAGGCGAAGGGCCTGCATCTGGCGCCAGCAGCGCAGCCCAGCAGCAGCGCCCCGCGGTGCTGCTCATCCACGGCTTCAACGGCAGCGTGTTCAACTGGAGAGATACCATGCAGGCGGTGGCGGATGAGACGGGGTGCAGGTCAGGCATCAGTTGCGACAGCTCACGGCCGCCTCATTGCCTGCTGCTTTGCTTTTCATTGGTCTAACGAGTTGCCAGACGACCCTTCATTTTTGATGCAGAGTCATTGCCTTCGACCGGCCGCCCTTTGGGCTGGCTGATCGGCCGCTGAGCTGGGGACAGCCAGGGCAGCCGCTGCAGTACAACCCATACCCCCCGGCTGGCAGCGCCCGGCTGGCTGCGGGCCTGCTGGATGCGCTGGGGGTGCAGTCGGTGGTGGCTGTTGGCCACTCGGCCGGTGCGCTGGTGGGCATGGAACTGACACAGCTGCAGCCGCGGCGCGTCGCCGGTGCGTTCTGCCAAGCTCCATCCCCTAGCACCCCTATCGCTTCCCTGCTGCTGCCGCTGCTGGTGTTGCCTCTGGGCATGGCAGCAGCAGCTGCTGGCTGTCATTATACCCCTGCTATCATGGCTTTTGCAGGCCTAGGCTTTGTGGCGCCAGCGCTGCCCACCACCCCAGAAAACAGCTTCACGCGGCGGGCCAACCTGGGGCAGCAGCTGCGCTTCCTGCTGACGCGGGGACTGCTGGCAGATGACACTCTGGGGCTCCGGTACGTGCGGCGGCAGATTCTGCGCAGGCGCGACGAGGTGGCGGCCGGCAAGATGGGCCTGCATGCAGACGAGTCGGAGGTGCCGCAGGTGGGCAGCGCCGGGGTGGTGCCCGGTGCTGGCGGGCAGCTGCCACCTCTTCAGCTGCCCGCTCTTCCGCTGCCCTCTCACCTTGCAGCCCCGACAGCCCGTCTCCCAACCCCTGGCTGCTTGCTGCCCCTGCCTTGCTGCTGACTTCCCTTATCTGGATGCCTGCGGGCCCCACGACCAAAGCAAAACCGCCCCCCACACACACTTGCTCCTCTCCCGTGCAGGACGTGATCGAGGGCTACCTGAAGCCGCTGCAGGCAATGGATTGGGACCGTGGAGCGCTGCTCAACCTGAGGGCCTTTTCCATCCCGCCTGCCTACGACTACGCCTCGCTGGCGCAGCCTGTGCTGCTAGTGCAGGCAAGCGGGCTGCTGTCAGCAGCACTGACTGGGGTGCAGGGGGAGGACAACCAGTCGCGCTGCTAAGTGGAGGCGGGCAGGGGGCTCCTGGGATTTTGCCTCGCCCCTTGCCATACACCGGCCCCTTTGTTAATGCAGGGCAGCAACGATGGCGCGCTGAGCCAGAATGCCCGGGTGCTGTCCAAGCTGCTGGAGCAGCGGCCGCACGGCAGCATGCAGTTTGTTGAGCTGCAGGTTTGTGTGTTTGGGTTGTTGTTGGTGGTGGCGGGGGAGTAACGCCTGGAGTTTACTCGTTGCACTCCAGGCAGGGCAGGCGGGTTGGTGCAGGACGGTCCACCCGCTTTCTGACTGCCGCCTGGGTGCCTGCGGCGGTGCAGGGCGTGGGGCATGTGCCGATGGACGAGTGCCCGCAGCAGCTCAACCGCCTGCTGGTCGACTTTGTGCGGCAGGTGGCGGCTGAATAGGCCCTGGAGGGCCTGCTTTGTCGATGCAGGTGGTTGACATGATCGATGGCGATTTGTAAAGTACGTATGTAACTTGCGCGCCGGCGGCAGGTGCTGGGCGGTGGCGGCGGCAGCAGCCGGGGCCGAGGGTCGCCGACCTCCCCCTCCACATCATTGAACGAGAATGTGGCTTCCTCCTCGCCACTTTAGCGGCTTTGTGTGGAGATCCCAGGACTGCCCCCTGTTTTTCCGTGCTGACGTGCGAGGCCCCCTGCGACGCGGGTAGGTCGGGATGGGGCGACCAAAAGCCCAAAACTTGTCGCGAGCCCAAACCGTTTCGAGACACGGGAAGGTGAGAGGAGTGGGTTGCCATGCCTGGTGCATGGCGATCAAGCCAGGGCCGTTGCAAGAGGCTGCGACAGCCCAAACATAGCCCAGGAGGCCACTGATGGTCCACTGGGCGGAGGGGGGCTGGCGGGAAGGGCTGGCCAGGACGCGCTGCAACAGCACGGGACGCTGCCGCCGCCGCTGGTGTCTGGCAGGCTTTCGAGTTCACCGTGTCTGGCGGGCTAGGAGCTAACTGTCAGCAAACATCCCTGCCCTTGCACGCCCCCCTGCCGACCTTCGGGGGTCACTTGCATGGCGGGGTCGCACTTTTGTTCTCACACTCTCCACCTCTGCCCTCCGCCCGTTGCCCACCCCAGGCCCGCCATGGTTCGCGCCCTCCTGCTGCTCGCCGCCGTCCTGGCGGTCGCGGGCGCTGCCCATGCCTACGAAATCTACGACTGCGATCCGGATTTTACCTACAACACCTCGTCCTACCCCGTCCTGCCAAACGTGAGCCATGCTGCAGCCAGGTCAGCCTTGTTCCTTCTTCCCGCCTGCCGTACCCCTCACTTCTGGCCCTCTCCCTGCAGGGCGATTTCAAGGAGGTTTCCAAGAAGGGAAACTGGATCAACATTGCGGTGCGCTCCTCGACCTGCCCTGCTTGTATCCCCACCCCACCCCAGCGTCACCGGTGGGCCCGCACAAACCCCCACCCTCCCACACCCCCCACACCCCTGCCACCCGCAGTTTGACAATGCTGTGAAGGCAGCCACCTGGCGCCTGAAGCAGAAGCACATCATCCCATCAGGCTGCAAGGTCTGGACCACACGCAAGCGCTACGGCTGCTACGACGTGAGTGTGGCAGGGACGGGTTTGGTGGGTGACCGGGCGATGCTGACCATCACTATCGTGTGCGGGCTGTGTCTAGCAGTGTCAGGGGCTCGACCTGGTTTGGAGCGCTGTCTTTTGCTGAAGATGGGCGGATGAACCGTGAAAAGCAGCGCATGTGAGATGCAAACAGGCGCGCTGACCCTGCTCCCCTTATGGCTGCAGAGCGTGAAGCCGGGAACCAAGGGCAAGCAGCTGGCGGGCCTGTATGGTGAGCGAGGGTCCCAGCTTGCAAGCAGCACCCTGCGATGCCAGCAAACTCGCCCCCAGCTGGGACTGCATCTCCACAGAATCTGCTCCACACTGCCTTTGCTGCTGTGCCCTTCCCTCCTCTGTGTAGTGTTCAAGTACCGCATCAAGTATGCCTGCCCCAAGGTATGTGCCTGCTGCTCGCCCCAGCGCCATCTGCACACCGCCAGCAGACTTCAAAAGCACCCGCTCGACATGGTCCCGCCGCTGAGCCCCCTGACCCGCCTGCCTCCCCGTCCCCCTGGCTTGCTCCATTTGTTGCTGCAGACCGTCAGGAACTACAGTATTCTGCAGAACATCTACACCCGCCGCGACGGCTCCTTCTGGAGCCCCACCCATGGCTTCTACTGGTGAGCGGCGAGCCGGGCCGGTTTGCCACGCGTGCGGGCGATGCTGACGGCGCGTCCAGCTGCCGCCCGGTTGTTGGTGAGTCGGAACAGAAAACGCGACCCAGGGCATTGATCTTTTCAATTCTTAACGCGTACTCTTGAACCGAGCCCTTTCCCCGTTCTCTGGAGGGCCTGCTTGCACCCCCGGCAGGCTGCTGCAGCGCCATTGCGCCGCCGTGCCTGCCCACACCACTCTCTCTTTTGCCGATCGATTTTCAGATGCTTTTGAACTGCAAAGTGCCATCTGACAGCTGCATCGTCGTCCCGTTGATGTGACGCGCTATGCAGCTGCATGTTTTGCACAGATCTCCTGCTTAAACATTGTAAGCACAACGAACAGACTTTGCTGGTATCGAGTGGTTGAGTGGCAGAAAATCGCAGTGTCTGCCGCAGGGCACTTGGGCTACCTTCGTCTCAGCAGCCGCAGCATGGCCGGCCCCACGTGCCTGACCGCGTCCCCCACCACGTCTGCTGCCGCTGCCGTGGCGTCATATCCGCTGCCCCCGGAGCCGCCAAGATTGCCCAGAAGCATGCGCGCTTGCTGCCCCAGCATTGGGTCGATGCTCCCGTCGCCAGCGGCCCCGCCGTGGGAGTGCTGCAGGCGCAGACAGGTCTCCTCCAAATCCTCCAGGTGCTCGGCCTGGCGGTGCGAGGTCCTGCAGGGCGCAGGCGGGAGCAGCAGAGCAAAAAGTTGCTTGTTTTTTATTGTTGCGAGGACCAGCAGACCAGGCGGGTCTCCAAAAGGCAGCCACCAGTGGCCCGCGTCTGGCAGACAGGCCCAGCCCCACGCAGCCCAGCCCCAGGGCGGCCGCACCTGGCCAGGATGAGGAAGATGACTGCGTGGAGGGCGAGGGCGTAGAAGAAGATGGCGGAGCGAGCCAGGCTGTTGCCGCTGATCAGGTTGCCCACCGCATACATGGCCTTGTCCTGCGGGCGGGGTCGGCGCATGTGTGTGTGTGCGTGTGTGTGTGTGCGCGCGGGCGCATGTGGGTGTGGGGTGGCAGGGGTGTGGGCCCAGGAGGCTGGCCCAGGGAGCAGAGCGCGAGCTGGGCAACAGGCTGGCGGGACCGGGCGCCGCGGCTGTGCCGCGCGGCGGCAGCAAGACGGCCGCAGCGGCTGCGACGCGCCTGGATGGGCAGCTGCTTGCGCCGCGCCTCCCGCTCTTTGGCCTTGAAGTCGGCAAAGGGGTTGATGGACTGCTCGTACTGCTGCATGTACTTGCCCACGACAGCCCCCGCCTCCAGGTCAGACGCCGGTCCGGCCGCCCCCGCCGCGTTGCGCCGGCCGCCGCCGCCGGACTGGTAGCCCTGCGAGCAGCACAGGCGGCACGGGGGCACGCAGAGAGGGGGTGTCAGAAGCGGGCCGCTGCAATCTTGGATCGAGGGGCTCATTTGACAGCCTGCGTCGCAAGTGGTGTTGCAGGTAGGCAGCCTTTGAGCCAGCACCAAGCAAGCAACTATCCCCCGCATGCTTGCCTGCACAAACTTGAGCCGCTCTGCCAGCGCCAGGTTGTCGGCACGCATCGCCTCCGCATCTGCCCGCACCTGCAATGAGCAGCAGGCACAGCATACGTCCCTGGAGACGGGAGGTCGCCTGCCTGGCAGGACGCCAGCACGGCACGTGTGCTACCCAACAGACCGGAAGCGGCAGAAGCGGCAGCAGCGGCGCACATGTTCAGTCGCTGACAGCATGCACCCGCGCCGCTGCCCTGCTGGCTCCTGCGCCAGCGACACAGCGGGCACCCCACCTTCTTGAGCTCCTGGCCCAAGGTTGCCAGGTGGGACTCCAGCTCCTGCGCCCTCGCCCTGAACCTGTCCCGCTGGCTGCACAGCACTGCCACCATCGTCTGCTCGCCGCCGCCCTCCGCGCCGCCGCCGCCGTCCGCCGACCCCGCCTCTCCCGCGCCAGCCGCCGCTCCGCCAGCTGCCCCTGCAGCGCCTCCCGCGCTGTCTGCAGCCAGCAAGTCTTCCTCCAGCCGGGCCACCAGCTCCTTCTGCTGCGCCAGCTCAGCCTCCAGCTCAGCGGCACGGCCCGCCGCCGACTCGGCCTCGCCTGCACGCAGCAGGACAACCAGGCACGAGGCGTGAGCGAGGCTAGCGGTGAGGCAAGCGTGCCAGCGCACACTCTGTTCTTCGTTTCTTCTCCCGCCGCAGGCAGCATGCGTTCAAGCTGGCACCCTGCGCCATTATCCGCGTCTACATGCCAGCCAATAAAAGAGCCAGCCCACCCTTTGCCTCTGCCAGCTCCAGCCTCAGGGTGGTCAGCTTGTGCTCCAGGTGGCGGCTCTTGGACACGAGGGCGGCCTCCAGCGCGCCGCGCCCGCCCAGCGCAGGCGCCGGGCCTGCCGCGCCGCCGCCGCCGCCCCTGTCTGCGCCATCCTCCTCGTCTGCAGCATACCCGCTGACTGCTTGCAGGATGCGCATCTGCAGGCAGCGGCAAGTAGACAGCCTCTTCACCAAAACGAGCTCACTCCCACCGCACCCTGCCTGGTGCCGGGCTGGGCTCGCAAAACAAGAAACAATGTGTGTGAAACAGCAGGTGGGCACGCCACGCGCGTGCTGCCCCTGCCTTGCCTGCTGCCGCAGCTCCTCCAGCTGCTGCTGCGTGGGCCTGCTGCCGAGCTCCTGCTCCAGAGCCGCCGCGTGCGCCTCCTGGGCAGCCAGGCTGCTGCGTAGGCCCTCGCAGCGGCCGGTCCAGGTGGCCGCCTCTGCGACAAGCAGCACAGCAGCAGCCACGGCAAGCGATGGTCGTCACGGCCCGGACGTGCAACCCTGCCGCATGCTGTAGGCTGCCCGCTCTGCCGATCGCCGCCGTGGCTCCCGCCATCTGGCCGCTCCTGGCAAGCGCCCGCTCACCTGCCTCCAGCTGCTGCCGCAGCGCCGACACTTCAGACTGCAGCCGCGTGGCCAGCTCGCGCTGCACGGCAGCACACAACCCATGCAACCGTTGCATTCAATCGGCTGCCATCAAATGTTTCGTCCGCCAAGCGGGCAGCACCAGCAGCGACAGCCGAGCCGGGCGAGGCCCTCCCCGCACCTGCGCATAGAGCTCCTGCCTCAGGCTCTCCTCTGCCGCCTTGCCGCTGCTACCTGCGCCGCCCTCCCCGCCCTCTGCGCCGGGAAGCGCAGCGGCCTGCTGCTGCTGCTGCTGCTGCTGCAGGCGGGCCAGGAGCGCCGCCTTCTCCTGCTCCAGAGTGGCCAGCCGCTGCTGGCTGCGGTCCATCTCCTCGCTCGCCAGCTCCAGCTCACTCTGAAGCCCCGCAGCCTCCTGCTCGCTCTTGCTCTGCATGCTGCAGGCATGGGCAGGGAAGCACGGGCGGCAGGCAGGGTGACCCAGCGACCAAGCAATCGGCAACCAAGAGCGGCAGCTCAAGGGAGAACGGACGTTGGGATCGAGCGGCGAGTGGCGCAGCCAAGTGGTGCTGGGCGCCCCAAAACAACTGCAAACAAACACAACCGCAAACGATTGCGAGGGCAGCGCACCACGGCACCGACCTGAACAGCTGGTTCTGCGAGGCCTGGTGCACGCGGCGCAGCAGCTCCAGGTTGGCCTGCGCCTGCGCCAGCTCATCCGACAGCCGCCCCTCCCGCTCCTGCATCTCCCTGCACACAGCACCGGCCGCGGCGGCAACCAGCGCTCGTGGGGCTGGCCCAGCGCACAGCAGGCAGGCAGGCAGGCGGGCAGGCAGGCAGGCAGACATGGTACTGAGTGGCAGGCAGCCAGCAGCCACAGCGGCACCCACGCGACCAGCCGCTCCTGCATCTCCGCCTCGGCGCTCTTCTGCTGCTCCGCCAGCTGGCGGTCCTGCAGGGCGCGGCAGCCGGGCAGCAGGCACGGCGCCACCAGCAGGAGTTGGCAGCTGCCTGGCGCGTGAACAAGGCAGGCAGGCAGCCCCGGCCTACCAAGGCGACCAACCCCGGCGCTGCTGCAACCCAGCACACGCCCTCCCAGCAGCGGCACCTTCTCCTCCAGCTGCGCCTCCAGCTCCCGCGCCCGCTCCTCCAGCCTGCGGATGGTGAACCCCTGCACACGCCGGAGCAGAGGCCGCCATGCTGCACATGATCGCACGCCCCCACAACGTATGCACGGCAGCACAATCCGTGCCGACGATGGCTCCAAGGTATGCCGCAGCGTGCCCCGTTCACCACCACCACCACAGCCCACCTGGTTCTTCAGCTCCGTGCTTTCCTGCTTGTACTCTGCCAGCTCCTGCAGGCGCACACGCACACACGTTCTGCTGCTGCTCTTGCATTGCGCCAGGAGATGGGCGCCGGGCTGGCTGTGCTTGCGTGTTGATGGCAGGGCAGCAGCATGATGAGCAAGGCCGCCGCGCCGCAGCGCGCTCCCACACCCTGGGGAGGCTCCAAGCCCCACCCTGCGGGCAACCGACGCAGCAGCTCGCGGTTCACCTGCGCCATCTTGGTGGCCTCGGCCTCCAGGTGGGTGGCCCGCGACGCCAGCTCCAGCCCCGCCGACAGCGCAGGGGCGGGGTCTGGGGCCTCGTACAGGCGCTGGTACAGGTCCAGGAAGGCGCCCTCCGCCGCCTTGGACCTGCACGGGTGAGAGGAGGAGGCGGCGGCGGGACGAGGTGCCAGGTCAGCGGCGGGCACAGCACCGGCCGCGTCCTGCCGCGGCGGCATGCCGGACGCGGGCCTTGCACCGGCGCGAGATGGATGCGGCCTGCCTGCCTGCCTGCCTGCCTCCCCGCAGCAGCCGCCCTTGTCCACAACCGGCATCCCAGCGCTTTGTGCCTGCTGCTGCCGCCGACCTGGAGGTCAGGCGGTCAACTTCCTCCTGGTACGCCTTGAGCAGCGGCGCCACCTCCTTGGACACCTCCTGAGCCGCGTGCCGCCGGAAGTCTGCGGGTAAGGCAAGCGGGGAAGCTCGTGCCACGCGACGACAGGAAACGCAAACGGGCGCGCATCCATCCAGCCGCAGGTGCAGGTAGGGGCTGTCGTGCGGTGGTCGGTGTACCGTTCTTGCTGCTGGCCCCGCCGACCGACCCACCCTTGGTGCGCTCTGCTAGCACCCGCCGGCTCTTGACGGACGCCTCCTGCGCGTTGGCTACCGCCAGGCCCTGCTCATCCAGCTTGCTGCGCAGCCCCTCCAGGTCAAACTCTGCAGGCGAGGGCGAAGCGGCGGGCGTCGGCGCCGAGGCTCCCGCCGCAGGTGGCGGCACGGCTGCCCTGCTGCGGCGCCGATGTCAAGTTGCTGCATGGATCGTGCGATGCAAGGAGGGCAACAGGCTGCGCCAGCAGCAGCAGCTGGAGTTTGGTTCGACCACCCACCCTTCCAATATTGCTGCACCACTGTAGGCAGCACATCGCCCGCCCCCGCCAGATCGTGCACGGATCCCTTCTTGCGCTCCATGCTGCTCGAGACGCGCGGCGATCACAACGAGGAGAGAAGTGGCATAGTTTGGCCTGCCCGCTGGCTTGCAGGAGCCCCCTCTTCGATTTAATCGAATGCTAGGCGTCGCTTTTGAGCTTGAGACCAGGGACCCGGTCTCTGTTGGCGCCACGGGTGCACCACGAAAGAGGCAGGATAGTAGCAAGCATCGCCAAACACCATCGATCTAGCCTATACCAGAGCGGACGCCGGCTGGCAGACACTGCGGCGGCATCTCGTGCATGGCCTGCAGCTGATCACTGCTCCAAAACACAATCCCGCACTCCCTATTTGCCACAGCACGGCACCTAGGCCAATGGCAGAGGCGGATGGCGCCACCACCGTGCCGGAGCTCCTAGTTCTGGCCGGCAACCGAGCGCACCTGGAGCGGGAGCGGGCGCTGGGCCGGATTGAGCAGCTGCTGGACGGTGCAGGTGCGCAGGAGGTGGCAATCGGGCTTGCCCGGCTGCAGCCGCCGCCCCACTGCCACCATCACCGCCACTGGCCAGGAGCGGCCGCTGCCCGTGGCACGTAGCGGCACGTCACGAGCTGCTGCCCCACTGCAACCCCCTCTGCGCAACCTCTACCCGCAGGCGGCGGCGGGCAGGACCCACAGGCGCTGCTTCTGGAGGTGTGCGACGGCGCGCGTCGGCTGGTGGCGTCGGATGAGTGGGAGCAACGGCTCGGCGGCCTGCGCCTGGCACGCGTCGTGCTGCAGCGCAAGGTGAGGCGGGGCCGTGGCTATCACGCGCCGCGTGCCCGACAAACGGGTGGCTCCCCCACGTGCAGCCACTGATGGTTTCTGAGCTTGTACTGAGCTCGTACTGCCTCTGCCCTGCAGGCCGAGCCCGCCTTTGCAGAGGACATGCTGGCCACCTGCCGGCTGCTGCTGGAGGACAGGGAAGTGAGGGTCCGCTGGGCGGTGAGTGGCCTCGTTGGGCTGGGCACAGAGGGCTGGTGGAGGTGCAGCATCTCGACCCAACCGCTCACAGCCTGGCGCATGCAGCTCCGCTGCCGGTTTAACCGTTCCTTTCTGCTCCGCTCCACCCGCCCGTCCCATGTTTCGCAGGTGGGCGAGCTGCTTCGCACGCTGTGCCAGCAGCTGGGCATCGCCGCCTGGGAGCAGGTGCAGGGCTGCATCCTGGAATCCATCCAGCGCAACTTCGAGCGCGACAGCACCGAGCCCTCGGGCCAGCTGCCGGATGTGGGGTCAGGTGCGCTGTGATGTGTGTGTGTATGCTGTGTTATGTCGGGGGCGGGGCCCACACATGCGTGCATGCCTGTTGCCTCGTCACTGCCTGCCGCTGCTCGGCCCGCCTGCCATCCATCGGCGTGTTCTGCCTCCCCGTCCGCTCGCATGCGTGGCTGCGGCTGATGTGTTCATGCGGCTGATGTGTTCATGCCTGCCCGCCCGCCTCCCTGCCCTGCAGAGGTGGAGGACAGCAGCGAGAGCAGTACCGGTGACTTCCTTTCCAGCCTGCTGCAGCAGAGCTACCGTGTGGAGCCGCCCGGCAGGGGGGAGATGCGGCACGGCACCGAGGGCTGGAAGTGCCTGGAGACGTCCTTCAGGGTGCGGCGCGCGCTGCGCAGCCTGTGCTGTGCGCAGCTTGCGGGCCTCGAGTTTGGAGCTCCGCCAGCTGCGCAGCAGTGCATGCAACAAACGTGTCCAGGGCAGGAGTCGGGAGGCGTTGCGGAGCAGCGGGGCCCGGGGCCGCCCTCCCCTTAGCTGCCTGTGGCTGCTGCACCTGGGCCTCCCTTGTGCCCCGTGCAACTGCCTCCAGCCGCCGGCTCCTGCCCAGCCATCTGTTGCGTGCACCCTGCAGGCGCTGCAGCACGTGATGGAGGGGTGCGGCGAGGCGTTCCGCCCCTACCTGGACGACTCGCTGCGCCAGCTCGTCTACCGAGCGCTGGCACACCCCAACCGCTTCATCCGGTGCGTGCGCGCGCGTGCACGGTGCATGGGCTGGAGGGTGTTAGGATCCAAGAAGCCGCTGCTAGCTAGCTGCAGGCCGGCCCGCAGGCCCGTGCCCCGCCGTCCCTGCTCACCTGCCTGCCTGCCTCCTGGTGCTCCCGCCCCCTGCCCTGCCTCCGCTGCCATGCAGCGAGGCCTGCCACTTCATCATGGGTAGCGTGTGCAAGCTGCTGGAGGGGTCGCAGCTGGAGGCGCTGGCGCCGGAGATCGCGGAGAAGCTGGGCCTGGGGCTGAGGTGGGTGATGGCGCAGGCCCGGCCTTGCACACACGCACACACAGCTGGGCGCTGCAAGGCTTTGTGCGCAGTCCGCAGTGCCGCTCTTCGACAGTCCTGCCCCTGAGCAGCCCCTCCGCTCGCCTGCCTGGTATGCCGGCGGGGCTGCTGCCTCTCCCTCCTTGCTCACACCTTGGCCTCGCCGCCGCCGCCCCCTGCAGCGACAACTGGAGCCAAGTGCGGTTTGCGTCCTCCACAGCCACCCGCACATTCATGCTGGTGAGCGCCTAGGCTGCTGCTGCTGCTGCAGACAGTCGAGGGAGCCCTGCATGGCTTTTGCCTGAGGACTAGGAGGCCGATGCCTACCTCCCGTTGCTGTTTGTTGCTGTTCTCTCTGCACCCACCTGCTGCTAAACCCCCTGCCCCTGCCCCGCCCACACCCGCAGTGTGCGGCGCCCTACCGCGAGCGACTCTTCCCGCAGCTGCTGCCCCACATGTGCCTCAACAGGTGCGGCCGGCGCCTGCTTTGCCGGCCCCGCACCCGCTGCTGCCGGTGGGGCAGGCATGCCCAGCCTTCTTGCCGCCAGCTGCGTGCACGCCCGCGTGGCCGGCCTCGGGCGCCTGCATCGGCACCTGGTGGCGCCGCCTGCCTGTTCGATCTGCGAGCACATGTGCGGTGCCAACCTGTGGTACCATATGGCGGTACTGTACTGCAGGTACTACGTGGCAGAGGGGGTGCGGCTGTACTCCCAGGAGACCTGGCGCATGGTCATGGGCGACAGCGGGCGGGAGCAGGTGGCCAAGTGCGCGCCGCAGGTGGGCGCAGGGTGCTGCGGTGTGGCTCCTCCCCGTCTCCCCTTCCTCGTGCCACCTGTTCTGCACTTTGTGCATGTACCCCCCCCCCCCCCCTATGCTCCCTGGTCTGCACTTTGTTCATGTCCCCCACTGCGCTCGCCGTCCCTCGCCATGGGGGCCAGACCCTCGCATTCGCGCACGCTCCAGCAGCATGCTCCAGCAGCACCGCACCGACCTGCACACACATGCCGCACCTGCTCATGCTCCCTGCCTGCACCCGCACACATGCCTGCTCATGCTCCCTGCCGGCAGGTGGTGGCCTACTACATCGAACAGAGCAAGGCCAACAACCACGCTGTGCGCGAGGCGGCCTGCGCCTGCATCGCGGAGCTGATGTGCAAGGTGGGCGGCTTGGGAGGGTGCTTGCGGAGAGTGTTGTGTATGCATGGGAAGAAAGTTGTGCATGCATGCCGGGGAACGGCGGGGCAGGGGCGGGCACACGCTGCCGACCCCAGGAACGACCGCCAGCACCTGCGGCTTCTTCCGCACAGCCTGCCTGCTGCGCGTCGTGCCCGCTGGGCTACGCTGGCTGCCGTGCTGTGGCCAGGGACCAGCCCCCACGGTCGCCCTGGCCACCCCCCGGCGCCGTCACTGCCACTGCCGCAACCGCCGCCGCCGCCGCGTTGCAGGTGGACCGGCAGGCGGTGTCGCCCTTTGTGCCGCGCCTGCTGCGCGCGCTGCTCATGTGCTTCAAGGACGCCAGCTGGCCGGTGCGCGACGCGGCCTGCCTGGCCTGCGGCCGCTGCGTCACCGCCTTCCCTGAAGAGTCGAGAGAAGTGCTGGAGGTGCGCCTGGCTGGCTGGTGGGGCTGGCCGGCTGGCTGTCTGTCTGGCTGGCTGGCTGGCTGGCTGGCCAGAGGGCCGGAGGGCCGAGCGGCCGACATGTGTGTTCTGCCTGCAAAACGCTTGGCGGCGCCGTCGGCCTTTGCTCCCGCCTCGCCCCGCTCCTGGCCCGCCAGCTGAGCCCCGCCGCCGCCGCCGCCGCCGCCGCCGCCCCTCGCCGCCGCCGCTTGGCGCCGCCGCTCTGTGCGCAGGAGCTCTACTCCCTTTGGTTTGCCCACCTGTGGGACAACATCTATTCAGTTAGGGAGGACAGCGCGGTGGCGCTGGGCAACGCAGGTGCGCTTACGGCTCCTTTGGCACCGGCAGATTCTGTGGTGCATCATGCTTCCCGCTGATTTTGCGGATGCGCGGGCGTGGGCGCCTGCTTGAGCGCGCGCGTGGAGGCGCGTCTGGAGCGGCCCCACGCTCCCTGCCCTCCTCCCCAAGCCGGCGTGAAAGGCCCCTCGCCTGCCCCGTGCCTCACCCCGCTGCACCTGCTGCTGCTGCTGCTGCCGCTGCCGCCGCCGCTGCCGCTCCGCGCCCCACCCTGCCGTCCCTGGCTCCCGCCTGCCGCGCCTGCCGCCTGCCCGCAGTGCGTGCGTACGGCGAGGAGGCCGTGGCTCGTATCGTGGAGCGGGTGCGGGGCATGGTGTTGGAGGCCAGGGACCAGCCCGCAGACAGCCAGCAGTACGGATCGCTGCAGAACACCACCCTGTTTGGCGTGGCGGCGCAGGTGCGGCGCTGGCAGTGGCTGTGGCTGCGGCGGTGGCAGTGGCGCCGGCGGTGCTGGTGGTGTGTGTGTGTGTGTTCGTGTGTGTGTGTGCGCTAGTGGCTCCCCCACCCATCCCTGCAACCCGCTCCTCCCCCGCTCCTCCCTTCCCACCCCGCGCCCGTGCTCCCCCTGCGCAGCGCGCCCGCGCCAACGACCCCAGCCTGCACACCGACAAGACGATGTTCAGCTGCGGCAGCCTGGCGCCCAAGCTGCAGCGCGGCGGCGGCTGCGTGGACCACGGCTTTGCCCGGTGGGTTGGGGGACGCTTCCTGCTGGCGCCTCCCCTGATCCGCCGCCTGCTCGCCGGCTTGCTCTTCTCCAGAGCAGAAGAAACTTTTGGGCCAGTCGGGCACGTGGCTGGCAGCAGGCGGCAGGCCGCTCAGCAGCAAATGCTCACCGCTGCCACGCCCCCCCGCACGCCTGCTGCAGGCAGAAGGAGCCGTGGGAGGCGTCTGACGGCGCGGTGTACATGCTGCGAGAGCTGTCGGGCGCGCCCCGCCTGCCTGCCTGCCTGCCTGCCTGCCTGCCTGCCTGCCTGCTGCCACCACGCCTGCCGCCGCCCTGCGAGCTGCCGATGCCTGCTTTTCAGCCAGTGCAGCCTGCGGGCCGCAGGGCTTCCCCCTTCCCCCTGCCACGACGGCCTCTCCCCTCCCATGCCCTGACGCCGCTCTCCCCGCACCTCGTGCGCGTGCAGCCGTGACGCCGGCCGCCGTGCCCGAGTTCCTGCCGGCGCTGGTGGAGCTGGCGCGCATGCAGCACTTTGCCCACGCCGCCAACCTGCACGAGACCGTTTGGAAGCAGCTGCCCGCGATCGCGGAGAACGTCGGCAAGAAGGTGGGGTCGAGCGGGAGGAGCAGGGCTTGCTGGGCGAGGTGCCGCCTGCCTCCACACCCGCTTGGTGCCCTCGTTCTACCTACCTACTCGTCTGCTGGCATGACCTGCTCTCTGCCACTGGGCCCGCCCCCTGCGCACCCCTTGCAACTCTCTCTTCGTCCTCTCCTCCTGTACCGTTAGGTCTTCAAGCCATACCTGGACGACTTCCTGGGCCCGCTCTTCCGCTCCCTGACCTGCGGCCACCGCCTGTGCGAGGCGGCGGCGGGGCGCTGCATCGGCGCGCTGCGCGACCTCGTCGGTCAGTCTCTGCTGCCCCTCCCGCGCCTCTCTAGCGATGCCCCGCCTCGCCACCACGCCTGCTGTCGCTGCCCTGCCGCCGTGCCCTCGGCCGCCTGCTGACCTGCCACCCCGTGCCCTTTCCGGGCATGCCCACCCGCTCTTGCGGCGCAGGTCCCGGCATCTTTGCAGGCCGCCTGTCGGACGAGCAGCGGCGGCTGCTGGAGAGCAGCCCCGACGTGCCGCCGCCTGCGGGGCGGTTTGCGGTGCCGGGCAGCCAGGTCACGCCACATTCGGTGCTGACAGGGCGGCCGTGAGCTGCCGGGCGGCAACACCCCATGCAGCCTGTGCTGGCGCCCCCTTTCAACGACTTTTTGCATGCCTATGCTCTTGTCTCGTATGCTCTCCTCTGTTCCTGCCCCGCCGCGCCCCGCAAGCTCTCAGCCAAGCATCGCTCCCTGTGGGCCTGCTGCCTTGCTGGACCACCCTTCTCATGCTCGCATGATCCTCCTCTGAATGCCAGTTTTTTGTGTGTAACCGTATTGGGTACCATCCGCCCCCCTGACATGCCGCGCATCCCAGCACCACCCCCGGCTGGCTCCCTCCAGCCCCTCAAGGGCAAGCTTGTCCTGCCGCGGCCGGGAGCCATGCATTACATTCGCAGGCCGAACAACATTCCATGCCCCAAGCAGCAGACCGTGGCGGCGGCGGCGCTGGCGCTGCCCATGCCGCAGCACACACGCCGCAGCACGCCGCAGCCGCGGTCACAAGGCGATGACGGCCTTGAACTCCGACTCAAACAGGTCCTCCGCCGTGTCTGCATACATCTGCCGCGCCGCCGCTACCAGCTGCTCTATGTTCTCCAGCGAGTCGTGCAGGTCGTCGGGGGTGGTCTTCTCGAACGAAACCTCCTCCTCCCCGCTGCCAAAGTCGCGCACCAGGCGCGCCCGCGCCTCTGCCGACACCCCCACAAACTCCAGCACCCTGTCCGCCATCTGGCCCACCCCGCGCTCCAGCACATCCTCGTAGGCGGAGAAGAGGGTGGGGTACCGCGCGGCGCCGTACCGGCAGATCTCCAGGTGCCCCTGCGTCGTCTCCAGCCGCGCCTTGAGCGAGGCGCGGAAGGCCGGCACCGCCATGGTCCAGTTGGTGGGGATGGTGCAGTTGTAGCCGGGCACATGGCTGAACGTCTTGCACTTGGCCGCCAGCGCCAGCGCGCGGTGCTCGGAGATGACGGCCTGCGGGGGCGGCCCCGCGGGCAGCAGCAGGCAGGTGCAGGGGTCGGCGCGGGCGTACCGCTTGCAGCCCGGCCGCCTGCATCCACCCTTGCAGTTGACCACCAAAACCACCACCGCCTGCTGCATGCAAGCACGACCTCCTTTGCCGTGCTCTTCCACCCGCAGCTGCCGCAGTGCCGCGCCCCAGCTGCCATCCCGCCTCGCACCACCCCAGCTGCCATCTGCGTGCCACGGCCGCTGCTATGCTCGCCCCGGCTGTGGCCACATCATGTCCCGGCTCCCTTAGCTGCCGCCAAGCCACGCCCCAGCCGCCGCCGCACGGCGCCGCACCTTGACGTCGTTTCGGCGGTGGAGGCAGATGAGTTTGGGGGGCGGGTCCAGGGCTGCCAGCACCTTCCAGTGCGCGTTGGCGGCAAACGTGGGCGGGAACTTGGCCATGTGTGTGTTCACCTGCGCCAAGGGCACATGCGGTGGCAGTGCCCAAGTTGTCCCAGGCGCTTATGGCAGCCCCGCCGCATGCCGGCAGCAGGCGCGTGGGCGGCGCGCTTCGCACACGGGCCGGTACCACGCCGGCAGCGCCTGTGCCGCAAGCGGCGCTGCGCCTTGCAGGACCACACCGAGTGCACCCACCTTGAAGCCCACCCATTCCAACGCGCTGTAATCCTTCTCGGGCACCTTGCCCTTGTGCGGCTGGTTGCCCAGCCATTCCTCATACACCTTCTTGTAGCCGCCGCGCGAGAAGAAGTAGTCAACGCCCTTGCCCAGCTGCCACGCGTTCTCATGGTTGAACTTCTCGCCCACAAACAGAATTTTGGGGTGGCGGTTGAGGACGTCTGTCAGCAGGCTGCTGCCCGTGCGCCCAATCATCAGCATCACGACCGGCTGCGGCTTGCGGGGGCCGCCTGCCGCCGACGCGTTTGCCCCCGCCGCCGCTGCTGACCCCGCGCCCGGTGGTTGAGACACCGCCGGCTCCTGCCGCAGCACCTGTGAGCTATACGCCGTCGCACCACCGCGATGCTGGGACCACAAAATGACGGCCGTGCACAGCAGCGTGGTGCCCATGAGCAACTGAGTCGACTCCCAGCTCCTGGGGGAGCTCATGGCCACCATGGCGCCGGGCTATGCAGGAGACGATATAACGCCGTGCTATGCGCGCAATTCAATCCAGAGCTCGACTTTTGAATGTGGCCCGCTTCTGTACCGCGGCCGCCCTCGTCGCCGCCGACAACCAGTCCTGGGTGTGCGGGAGCACCCCCCTCAGCGGGCCACCATGCGATATGGGCCCACATGTGTGGTAACAATGGGCCATCCCTGGCAACCAAGCCAGGGCTACGCCCGCTCCAAACACTCGCCGCTGCCCCAGGCCGGTGCCGAGGCGGGACGTTCTCCCGGCGCATCACAATCTTGCTCATAGCTTACAGGTCCACCTGCCGTGACATTGAATTCAAACACATCGCAAGCAGATCTACCCTACAAATCACCCTGCATAGCCATCGCCCGCTCACCAGCTGACCACTCCAATCCAGCTCAAAATTCGAAGGCCGGCCATCTCCACCTGTGCTGCCCTCCTCCACTTAGCCTATTGGCTGCTGCTTCACCAGGGCCAGAGCTGCCAGCCTAGCCGCCTGTACCTGGGCTGCTGACCTGCTGGCACGCCCCTCCTGCTGCCTGCTCCCCGACCAAGCAGAGCTGGCACTGCTCACGGTCCTGCCAGCAGCCGCCTCGCCAGGAGGGCGGCCGCGGCTGCAGGCAGTCTGCTGCAGCAGCGAGCTGGATGGGCTGATGGTGAAAAATGCTGGCTGCTGTCCGCACTGCATCCTTCGGTCGCCAGCCTGGGATGCCTCAGTTGGCGGGGGGGGGGCGCCACCAGGCTTCCTGCCGCCTGCGGCTTGCCGGCTGGCGGCACCTGCCAGCCGCATGCGGCTGGCACCGCGCCTCCAGTTGAAGGCAGCGGCATGGCTGCTGACGCTGGCACCAGCTGGCATGGCATTGCTGGGCACAGGGGCAGGTCCAACCGCCGGAGCAGCCCGCACCACAGCCGCCGCTTCAGCGCTGTCACCGGCAGTGGCAGCAAGTGCGCCAGCTGCGGGGGTGGCTGGTGGGCTTCCGGCGGCAGCGGCGCCACCTGGCGTGCCGGCTGCAACCCCCGACAGATACACATCGAAAATGTCGCCGTAGCTGCCTGCAGGCCCCGGCGCCTGGCGCCTGCTGATGCCAGGCGCCTGCTGATCCGGCGCTTGGTGCCTGCTGTTGCCCAGCGCGTGCCGATCCTGGCCCCGCCCCTCCTCCTCTGCATCAACCCGGATGTCTGAGCCGCAGGCGCTCCTGGGCGTGGGCCCTGCGCACAGCAACCAGCCAAGCCGCAGCTGAGGTGTTGGGAGTCTGCTGCACTCCCCATCACGGGATCCAGCGGACGGGGGTAGGGCAATGTACCAGGAGGCATGCTCCGGGCTCACCAGCGCTGATGGCCCCACACAGCGCGTCGCCACCGTCGCCGCCGCCAGTGCTAGGCAGCATCCCTGCCGCCGCCTCAGCGCCTGCATCTGGCCCCTGTGCTGTCCCGGCACCCTGACCGCTCGCTGGCTGCGCCTGCGCCAGCCGCTGCACCCGATGCCTCCACACCGAAGCTGCGGTGACGGCGCCAGCATGCGAGCTGGCCGCGCGGCGCTCCGCGAGGGCCGCCACCTTCTCCCGCCACCCCTCTGTGCAGTTGATCACCCCGTCGAGCACCACCCGCCGCCTGAAGAGGCATGCGAGAAGCCAGGGCAGCGGTGGGAGGCAAGCGCTGGCGGGCTGGGGCGTGGCCAGCCAGCGACAGCCAGCTATCCACGTCCTCCTCTCATCAGCTTCACCCATTCAATCTCCGTATCTTTTCCTTGTAAGGGGCACCAGCACTTGCGCTTCCACCACACCACTACCTGAACGCCTTGGCGAGCAGGTGGAAGTCGCTCCAGTTGAGCGGCGCCTCCTGCTCCTCACCCCCCCCGCCGTCGCCTCGCCCCGATCCCCCCAGGTTGACCTCCTGCTGCAGCAGGCTGTGCAGATTCACCTCCCCTGGCCGCCGCTCAGCCATGGCGCCGTGCATCATCTGCAGGGCATGTGCACTCGGGGCATGCGGTGAACAGGCAGCATTGGTAGAAAGGTAGCAACGCGCACACGCATGCACGCCTGCCTGGGCAAAGTCGCTGAAGCGGAGGGACTGGGCGCCGGCGCCTGCCACGCTCTCCACCAGCCGCGTCACCTGGCGCAGGCTGGCTGGCTGGCCCAGCGCCTGCAGCAACGGGTTGGTGAGGGCCAGCTTGCAGCTCAGCTCGTTTGAGTGCCAGCATGGCGAAGGGGGCAAGGGGCGCACGCATGTCGACTCACTTTGAACACGGCCAGCAATTCTTCCGCCTCCAGCGTGCCATTGTTGTCTGCATCTATGATCGAGAAGCACTCCCGTGCAAACCTGTTGCAGCGGCACGGGGAGGGCGGGGGTGGACACAGGGTGGGTGACAGGCGGGGGAGCTTACAGGTGGCGCGCCATGTTAGGGCAAAGCGAGCTTGCTGGGTTGAGGTGAGAGACATGTCTGTGCCCATGGCTCACCTGATTGTGGACAGAGGTATGTGCACCTGCAGGCAAGAGTGACAGACTCGAACAGCCTTTTCACTTTGAAGGCCCAGCCCAGGCCATCAACACACAGTTGTGATGCAATGTTGCGCCGGCGCCGGCGCCCGCGGCCACAGCACGCACCGGCAGGTCCTTTCCCCTGGAGTTCAGCCAGGCCAACACGCTCTGCGCAGTGTCATGGGACAGGTGGCTCAGCAGTTTGTGCGCGTCTGCGGCCATCTGTGGTTGGGTGGTTGGCACCCGCCTTTCAGGCCGGCCCTGACCCTCCAGCTAATTGTAAGATTCAATGTAGGGGGCGTGACATTGCTAGATTGCTAATTGACTTGACTAACCTGCTGCGGTGCCAGATGGCTGCCTCGGGGCAAAGCAGCAGCAGGCACTTCAGGGGAAACGCGCATTGCGGCGCCTGCCAGCAGCGGTGCATTCCCTGCACTGCCCCGAATCGCTGTGGCAGGCCTGCAGTGCTTCCTGTGGCACAGTGCCCTCCACCTTGAGGGCCTTGAGGTCACCGGCCGGCATAAGCTAGCGTAGACCAGCAGCATGGCAGCCGGGGTGCTTGCGAGGCCACCGTGCGCTCCCGGCGTTTGCCGGCCGGCGCAGCAGCGCAGGCGCCCAGCACCCGCCGCCGTCCCCGCCGCCGCTTGGATAGGGTCGGCCGTGCGCCTGGCGCAGGCCGCACCGGCACCTGGCCGGTCCGCCAGCGGTCACGCCCACCTTGGCAAGCATCCAAGTGCGCCTCAGCCGCCACGGGTAGCGGCCGGCAGTCCAGCTTCTCTGTCTTGCCCATCGTCGTCCCTCTTGCCCCCACCTCCTTCTTCACCCCAGCCTCTCCTTCTGCCGCCGCGCCGCCGCTGCAGGCGCGGCCTGCCGAGCCGCAGCAGCTGACCGGCCCAGCGGCGGTGGGGAGCTGGCGGCGTACGAGCTGCAGGTCCTGGGGAGGCCGCCACAGGCGGGACCCGTGGATATTGCCATCCAGCCGGGGCCCAGCAACAGCCGCTGCATCTTCTCCGGTGTGGACATCGAGGCGCCCGCGCCCGCGGTCTACGCAGCGCTGACGTCGTACGAGGCCCTGGGCACCTTCATCCCAGGTGCGGGCGCAGGGCTCGCCCCAGGGGCCGCGACGCACCGCGCAGACCCGGTCGCCCTCTTCCAGCCGGCGCCTCCGCTCGCCTTTTGGCAGCGTGCCGCCCGCCTGCCTCGCCCGCCTCGCCCGCATGGCGCCACCCAGCAGCTGCCCCTGCCGCCGCCGGCTCGCAGGCCTGGCCGAGAACCGGTGCCTGGAGCGGTATGCAGACGGCTGCAAGCTGCTGCAGGTGGGGCAGCAGGACCTGGCGCTGGGGTTCAAGTTCTGCGCTCGGGTGTGCCTCCGCATCACCGAGTATCCGGCAGGCATGCCGGCCCGCCTGCTGGGCCGCAGCCCCGCCGGCGGCCCCGCCGGCGCCGGCAGCAGCGGCGAGGGCCTCGCCCGGCTGTGGTGGCCGTTTGGCGGCGCCGCCGCCGCGGCCGGCGCCGGCAGCGGCAGCGGCAGCGGCGGCGGCAGCGGCGGCGAGAGCGAGGGCCAGCTGTTTAGCGAGGCGCGCTTCCTGCGCCCGCGCTCGCCGCTGGGCTGCGCCACCCCCATGGACATCTCTTTTGAACTCGTGGAGGGAGACTTTGCGGTGAGACGGTGGCGCCGCCCTGTGGCATGCTGCCCCATGCTGAGCCGCCTGCATGCCTCGGGGACTGCTGGCATGCTGGGACTCGTTCTGGGGCATGCTGCCCCATGCCGAGCTGCCCAGGCTTGCATGCTTGTGGGCGACAGTTGACCCCAGGACCAGCAGCAGAGCCGGTGGCTGTCTGCGTGTGCGGCCCTCGGCAGCTGCGGACCCTGCCTGATGCGTCGCGGCTTGTGCTGCGGCGGCATTGCATGTGCGCCCCCTGCATGCAGCAGCCCAGCCCGCTCGCTGCCCCCTTGCCATGGCCGCAGGCGTTCAAGGGCATGTGGCGGGTACAGGGCGCCGGGTACGGCGCCTCCCGCCTCTCCTACACGCTCTTTGTGCGGCCGCAGCCCTGGCTGCTGGTGGGACTGATCGAGCAGCGGGTGCAGGACGAGATAGCGGCCAACCTGGCGGCGGTCAAGGCGCATGTGGAGGCGCAGATGGCGGCGGGCGCGCGGCCGCCGCCGCCCTCGCTGCCGCCGCCGCCAGCCGGCCTGCTGTGATGCGCCCCCGCCTCGCCCTGCCGCCGCCTTGATTCCGTGCTTGCCTAGACCCAGATTTGATGCCGTTCCCCTTGTTTGATTGCCTGCCTTGGGCAGCCCTCTGTTCTGCAAATTGGCTCTGGAAGTGGCACGGGAAGTGTTGCGGCTGCTGATGGCGCGGTTTGCGGTTTACATTGGTAGCGTGGTGAGCCATGCAACAGCAATGCGCTCACCACGCACGCAACCGCAGGGCAGCGCGCATGCAGCAGACTGTTTCGGCTGCGCAGGCGGCGGCCCCAATCCAACAATGCCAATGAAATGTGAAGGGCAACACGCAGGCCCGGCCCGGCACCGGCATGCCCTGGGCTGCATCGGCTGGCTGGGGCGAGCCCCCACAGCAGGCCGGCAGGCAGCAGGGGCCTGTGGCCGGCCCTGCAGCCCCCCGGCAAGCCAGGGTGTTGTCCGGGCGGAGGGAGAGAAAGGTCGAGGGCCACCGTCCGTCAAGAGGAAGGGAACGGGGCAGGGAGTCGGGGACGGGGCGCTCAAACTCAGAGCATCGCCTCCTCTCCTTCTCTCCTCCCCCTTCCCCACATCTAAAGGGCATTTCCGGGGTAGGAGCTGCCTGCCCCCCTACAGGTCTCCGTAGTCCAGCACAGCCCGGTTGTTCTGAGGGGCGTCCAGGTCAAAGTATCCCGCCTTGGGCCCGCGCCCCGCCATGCCGCCGCGCCCGCCGCGGCTGCAGCAGGCAGGGCCCACCGGGCAAGCAGGCGATCAGCATAAGCAGGCAGGCGCATGGGCCGGAGACGTGCTCGGCAGATGCGTGCGCACACAAGCGTTACACACACGCGGCGCGGCAGGCAGCAGCAGCGGAGGAAAGGAGCCGGCGGTGGCGGCGGCGGCGGCTCACCCGCGGCCGCCGCGGGCGCCGCCCACGCCGCCGCCCATGCCCATGCCCATCACCACATCCATCGGCAGAATCATGGGGGCCATGCCGCCTGCGGTACAGGACGGCACAGTACAGGCAGTACAGCGGGCGTGAGGCCGCAATCCACCTGCTCTTTTTCAAGCCAGGCGCGGCGCCTGGCAGACGGGACGTGCCCGCGGCTGGCTGGCAGCCACGTGAGCCGACATGTCGGTCTGTTGCGGGGGCAGGCCAGCCCGCCCGCCAGCCCCGGCGTCCAGGCGAGCGGGGCAGCGCAGTGGCTGCAGAGCAGCTTCTGGGGCGGATTAGAAGCGGGGGCCCCACCTGCTGCGGGCATAATGATGGGAGCCATCATCATCCCTGGGTTGAGGGGCAGCGCCGCAGGTTCCAGCGGCCCAATGCCGCGCCCGCGGCCCCTGCGCGTGCGGGGTGCAGGCGGGGTGGTTATGAGCACGCGCGGGGGCAGCAGGCGGGGCAGGAGACGGCAGGCGCGACTCGCGAGGCAGGGGCAGGCAGACGCGGCAGGCAACCATGGCACGCGGCGAGCGGCAGGGGCACGGCCGGCGGAGGCGCGCACCTGCCGCGCCCGCCGCCGCCGCCGCCGCCCATGCTTGCCATCACCCGCTCCTGCTCCTCCTCCTGCCGCCGCTGCTCCTCCTGCTTGTAGGCCCTGCGAATCGCAGGCAGCAGCAGCGGTGGGCGCGGGTGCGGCAAAAGTTCCAGCCGAAGGCCAGCGCCGCTGCCAGCCGCCAGCAGGGGGCAGCGCCGGGCACCCCGCCCTGTCCCTCCCTCCCTCCCCGCTACCTTTGCTCTTCACCCACTACAGCCTGAACTGCATCCCACTCCCTCCGCAGCACAGCACACTCCTGCCACCCACTCCCAGCCGCCCCCCACCCCTGCCTCCCCGCCTGCTGCGACTGCTCTGCGGGAGGCTTGCGGGATGGCTGCGGCTCCCCACCCCCACCCGCCAACCCCCACCCCCACCTGAAATTCTCCCAGTACACCTCCTCCTGTATGCGCTCCCGCTCCGCCTCCACCACGTGCCCGTGCTTGTTGCGGATGTGCTTGACCACAAACTCACGACCCATGAACAGCTTCTGCAGGAGGGAAGAGGAGGAGGGAGGGGGCGCGGGGTGGGGGTTGAAGGGATGCGCGCGGCGCAGGGCGGGGCGGCCGGGGCCCTTGAGAAGAGTGGCCGGCGATAGGCGCCGTGGGCACACACACCAAGACAAGCACAGACACGACCACAATACACACACAACACACACACACACACACACAGACGAAGCAAGCGCCGCACCTGGCTCAGCTTGTTGCCCCACTTCTGGTCGTCAATCTTGATGATCTGCGCCTGCACAAACCTCTCAACCTCCTCCTCCACCTGCGCGCGGGAACGGCAGCGGCGGGTCGGAAGTCAGGAGCGGCAGTACACAGCAGCTCAGCCCAAGGAAGGTGCCGCGCTGGGCGCCCCGCCACACACGCACAAGCAGCAGGCAGGCGCGCCCCTCCCTCCCCACGCGTTGCTCACCCGCTGGCGCTGCAGCGGCAGCAGCAGCGGGTCGCCTTTGTCCAGGCGGAAGCGCCAGAAGCCGGTGACGCGGCGCTCATACTCCCGACCCTCCTCGCTGCTGCCGCCGCCGCCGCCCTGCTGCTGCTGCTGCGCCGCCGCCACCTGCTTGCCGGCCGCCGCCGCGGCGGTCGGCGACGCGGCGGCAGCCGGCGCTGCGGCGGCCGGGGACGCGGCGCCGGCCTCGGCCTCGGCGGCGCCGCCGGCGGCCTCGGCAGGAGCCGAGGCTTCCCCCGCCGCGGCGTTGCCGCCCGCCGCGGCGCCTGCCGCCGCGCCCGCCTCGCCGTCGCCCGCCGCCGCCTCGCCAGCTTGCGCCGCCTTCTCCGCCGCCGCCTTCTCTGCCTCCGCCTCTGCCTCTGCCTCTGCGGCGGCCGCCAGGTCGGCATCCGAGGGCTTGGGGCCGCGCAGCGTGCGCCGCGCCGCCGCCCGGCCAGGCTCTGCGGGATTAGAGTACTCCCTGCCGCCATAAAAGTCGATGCCGTGGACGCGCCACAGGTAGCGCAGCAGCTGCAGGGGCAGGGGCAGCACGCGTGGTGGCACAGGTCAAGGGGAGGAGAGGGCGGGGGTCCGACGCGGCGGCAGGGCGGGGTGGCGCCGCCGCCCGGCGCCGCCGGGCGCCGCTGTTGACTGTCGTCGCAACCAGAAGCCAAGGGCGGGCCACAGGCGGGCCCAGCTGGCAGCCTGCCAAGCGGCAGCCCAGCAACCAATTAGGCCTGTGCTGACCTGGTCCAGCTTGGCGGCGGTCTCCTCTGGCGACAGCTCAGCGTCCATGTCAGCGCCGCCCTCTGCCGCCGCCGCCGCCTCCCCCTCCTGCGCCTCGCCGCCGCCGCCGCCCGCGGCCGCCGGCAGCAGCGGGTTGCCGGCCACGCCCTTCTCCTTGTCCGCCGCACGCGCCAGCTGCTTCGCCAGCGCCAGGTCAGCCGCCAGCTGGGCGGGCTGCCAGCACAGCGCGGGCGCCAGCGCCGGCGGCGGCGCCTCCTCGCCGCCGCGCGCGCCGCCGCTGTCTGCCGCCGCCGCATCAGAGAAGCCCTCGGGCCCGGGCCCGCCCTCCTCCTCCACACTCGCTGCAAGCAAGCCAGGCCCAGGTGCGGGCGCAAAAGTCAGACAGCCACCAAGCCAGCGGCGGCCCAGGTCCCAAGCACGCAGGCCAAACAGAGTCCCGACGCTGTGGACGTCAGCAGGCAGGCAGGCAGCGGCGGCTCGGGGCGCTCACCGCCACCGCCCCCCCCAGCTTCCAGCTCCTCGGCGAAGCCGGAAGCCGCCGCCGCCGCCAGCTGGTCCCGCCGCTCCACCACGCGCCGGATCTCCCGAGGGTCAAACTGCCGCCGCAGGCTGCGGGCGGGCGGGCGGCAGAGGGTTGGTGGGCAGCGCGGCGGTGGGTGCACCACGTCGGCACAGCGAGGCCCCCAGATTGTCGGCCAGGGCTGTGGGATGGGCCCAAGGGCAGGCCCCAGTCCGCCACCTCCACTCCGGACCGACGGCGCCGCCGCCACGACTGGTACCGCTGGTACCGCCACCCCCACCACGGTTCTTCACCAACCCTGTTCGCCAACCCTAAACACGCCAGCCCCACCACCCGCCGCCGCCACTCACATCGGGTCGCCCTTTCGCTGCTCAAACTCCGCCTTGATGGCATCCCCCCACCAGTCAGCCATGTACCGCCGGTACTCGTCGTTGGCCTGCGGTACAGAATGCGGTGCGGGGAGGAAAGAAAGCGAGTGTTGCTGCTGGGCAGCGACGCGGCCGTGTGATCAATACCTTGAACGGGAGCGACGGAGAACGGCCACGGCCACGGCCACGGCAGCAACAGATGGCAGAGGGCATGCCAGCGTGCGGCGGCGGCAGCGGCAGCGGCAGCGGGAGGGCAGCGGGCACCTGGTCGGGGCCCACATGGGGCGGCAGGTCCCGCACAAACTCCACAAAGGTCAGCGGGCCCCTGCAGCCCAAGCAGGCAGCAGGCAGGTGGCATAAGCGTCGTGCTGGCAGAGACAGGCTGCCTGCTCTTGGGGAGCTAAGGGCCGCGGCGGCAGCAGCCAGGCACATGAGAGGCGGCTGCCGGGCCAAGGGCGCGACAGCATGCGCTGCGCAGGCACTTCGCAATGGTGCAATGGTGCAGGCGGGCAAGGAGCGCGTGCCTGGGCCCGCGCGGCCCCCGATCGTCAAAGCGGTCGTCAAACGGAGGGCCGCTGCCGCCGCCACGTGGGGGCCCGCCGCGCCAGCCGCCGCCGCCATACCCGTCGCCGCGGTCAAAGCGGCCACCGCCACCGCCAGGGCTGCAGCAGGCGCGGGGAGGGAGGGAACACACAGCAGGTTGGAATGCAATGATTGGGGCCGCCGGGAGCTGAGCGGCAGAGTGTCACTGGAGCGGCGCCAGTGCCTGAACCCCTGCGCCCCCCAAGCCATTTCTCACGGTCGGTCGTAGTCATCATAGTCATCCCTGCGGAAGCGCTTGCCCGGGGGCGACCTCCTGAAGCGGTCTGGCGGTGACATGCTGCGCGGGCGGCGGCGGTCCCAGCCGCCCGGCCCGCCCGGCGGCGGCGGCCCGCTGAACCGCCTGTCGTCGCGCCGGGGCGGGCTGCGCCGCCTGTCGTTGCCTCGCATGATCTGTCAGCATACAGAGGAGGGCAGGAGGCGTGAGAGACCGCGGCACAGCGCTGCAATCACGATGGCGGGGCTGGGGGGAGAAGGGGGCGGGGAACGGGAGGGACCCATTGCGCGGCAAAGATGGTGCAAATGGGAGGAAGGAGAGAGGAGGAGCGGGCCTAGGGAGGTTGTAGGGCTGCGTGGGGTGCCATCACTGCACCGGGGCGTGCCATGCGGTGCCAACACGCACCTGGAGCCAACGTAGACTGCCCTGGGAAGCAGTGGACGCTGTTTTGCAACGGCATTTCGGCAGGAAAGTTCTGCGCGCTACGTTTCCCACAAGGCCCCTCTGCCGCGCCTGGCCCTGCATTCAGCCGCGGCCTGCACCCTGCCAAACCATCTGCAGCCGCCTCAGACCTGCACAGCCGGCCGCCCGCGATCACCTTCGCGCCATGACGACGCTCGTCCTCACGGCCACCCCGGTGGCCACCCTGCAGCAGCTGACCTCGCTTCTGGAGGCCCACGGGGTCAGCTCGCTGGGCCCCGTGGCCCTGGCCACCAGCAGCGGCACGCTCGGGGCGGGGGCGCTCAGCGCCGGCGCCTATGACGCCGTGCTCTCCGTGGCCGGCCAGCCCGGGCATCACACCGTGCAGCTGCTGGGCCTTCTGGCGGCGGCCATGAAGCCCGGCGGCAAGCTCGTCATCCAAGAGGTGGGCTGTGGGGCCAGCCGCCCGGGTGGCAGAGGCGGCGAGCCGTGGGCCGTGGGCGAGTAGGGAGCTGAGCAAGCGAATCTGTGCTGCTAAGGCAGGCGCAGGCCAGCTCTGCTGGCTCTTGTGAGCCTGGGCTGGGAGCAGTCAGGGCCTGGCCTCGCTTGTGCTCCCCTCGCCTCCTGTCACCGTCGACCCATCCACCACGCCATCTCCTGCGGCCCCGTTGCCTGCTCGCAGCCTGGCGCCAGCGAGGAGGCCCTGAGCAAGACGCTGCTGCTGAGCGGGCTGACCTGCGGCGGCGCCGCGCCGGGCGGCGGCGTGGCAGCGCACAAGCCCGCGTGGGCGACGGGCGCCAAGGCATCCATCGCCCTGAGGCCGCGCCAGCCCACCGCGGCGCCGGCGGCAGCCGCAGCGGTCGCCGCCAAGCCCGCGCCGGCCGCCAAGACCTGGACGCTGGCTGTGGATGATGATGATGGGGATGAGGAGCTGGTTGACGACGAGGAGCTGCTGACCGAGGAGGACAAGCAGCGCCCCGCGCCGCCGCCAGGTGCGCGTGGCCCCGCCGGGCCGGCTGGCAGCGGCCCTGGAGGGTCCCTTCCCCCCAGCCGTGCGGTCTCTTAGACTGGGGGGCCTGCAGCCAGCATCGTTTCGGTGCAGGCGCGGCCAGGTGCTGCTGGCTGCACCGGGGGCAAGCCCGAGCGCCGCCGCCCGCTGCCTGCGCCTGCAGCCTCCGCCGACGACTGCGAGGTGGGTGCGGCGGGGCGCAAGGCCTGCAAGGACTGCACCTGTGGCCGCGCAGACGGCACGGCGGAGCAGGTGGCGCTCACAAGGAAATGCTTGAGAACCCCACCAGCGGCTGCGGCAGCGTGAGTCCCGCGGCTGCGGCAGCACGCCTTGCTCATGGCCGCGCCCCAACCTTGCGTGCCTGGCGTGGCTGCCTGCCGGGCAGGCGCGGTGTGGCCCTGCTCCGCTGGCAGCAGCAGCTGCTCGCCGGGCATGCTCGGCGGGCCGCGTGACGCTGGCCCTGCCCCCGTCTCCTGCTGCAGTGCGGCCTGGGCGACGCCTTCCGCTGCGGGGGCTGCCCCTACCGCGGCCTGCCGGCCTTTGAGATGGGCAAGAAAATTGAGCTGCCTCCCGACTTTCTGGCGGTGGACCTGTAGGCAGTCGGCAGACGCTGGTGTGGGTACTTGAACATGCGCTTCTGTGAATTTCCTGGCAGAGAGGCTGCATTTCGGCTGGTTTGCCGGCTGTTTGGTTTGTGGATGATGCAAATTGGTGGTACATTGCTGGGTAATGCAAAGCCAACTCAGTGGGGGTGTGCAGTGCGACGTCCGTGGTGTGGAGGGATGGTGTGGGGGGTGGGCGGCACCGACCGGGACCCCTGTGTCATTCATTGCCTGGTTCTTGTTCCAGGACCACAGTGCTCGTAAACGTGGCTTAAAGGTGTCCTGTAGGGTGTAGACACCTTGCTTGCTCTGGTACTGCGTCAAGGCTGTACCCGCCATGTCAGCCCACATTTGACAGGCCGGCCTAGGCCACGCGCTTCGATGCCTCATTTGCTGGCCCACAAGCTGCTGGGGAACCGCAGCCCCTGTGGGTTTGCGATATTTCTGCGCTCACCGAACTGCCAACTGAATAGCTGCGCAGGGCGCCTTTTCCGCCTTCCTGGTTTGTCCAGCTTGCTGCGACATACGAGGTGGCGATGGCGCAGCAGCGGGGAGTGAGGACGGGGGCGGAAGTCCCTGCCGAGACGCTGCCCACCGTGCCCTCCCGCACCTGGCCCTGCAACTTTCGTGACTTCATGCGGCTGAGGGCGGCAGCCCAGAGCCCGCACCGCTCGGCTTGCTGCCTGCCAATGCTGAGCCCCGTGAGCCTGCCAGCCAGCATCTGGTGCGCTGCCGCCGGCGGCCCACCCGCCCGCGCCGACTCTTGGCTCATGCTGCATGCTGCCCCTGCAAGGCATTGCCCTCTAGAAATGCCGACATCATCGATTGTGCTTGGCGCGGACCCCTGCCATGCAGGTATGGCATCACCAACTTCCTCGACCTGACATACACCGCGTTTGTGGTGGCCTTGTCCCTGGCATTCAACAACAACCAAGGCTTCGACACATCATGGCTAGGCATCATGGACATCATTGGCAGCATCATCTACGTGGCTGATCTCATCATGGGCTTCCACATTGGGGTGGTCGCCAAATGGGAGGGCCGCGCAGTCAGTGCGATGATGATTCATTCATTAATTCATTCATTCAGCACACAGACCGGCCGCCTCTTGCTCGAGGGCGGCCCACTTTGGCCTGGGCAGCCCGGGCCGCCCTCCCCCCCGGGCGCATGTTCGGTGTTGGAGGGGTGTGCCCAGCGATAGGGGGCCCCTGAAGGCATGCGCCGAGGCCGGGAAGCGTGGTTCGGCGCTGCTGCACGCTTGGCGATTTGAACAGAACCACGTGCCGCCGAGCTGCGGCCGCAGTTTCCGGCCCACGGTCTACGGTCGCAGCCACGGGACTCGGCGGCACGGCGTTTGGGCCCAAGCTTGCTGCCGCCGCCGCCGCGCTGCCCCCCGGGCACGGCGGCGGCGGCGGCACGCTGCGACGCCCCCGTGCTGCCGAGCTGCGGCCGTAGTTTCCTGCCAGAAGGCCACAGCCACGGGACTCGGCGGCACGGCGTTTCGGTCCACGGCTTGCTGCCGCCGCCGTCGCAGGGGTGCTGCCTGCGGCGGCGGCGGCACGGCGTTTGGGTCCACGGCTTGCTGCCGCTGCCGCCGCCGCAGGGGTGCTGCCTGCGGCGGCGGCGGTAGCGCACGTGGCAACCCCCCGCGTTTCCT